ATGAGCAATTTTGTGTCACTTATTTGGCAGCAATTCAACCTTTGCAACCAAAGAAGCGATTGATTTTGTAATTTAGCACGCAGAACCCAATAATGGGCTATAAATATATTTATAAATGGTTTAAATACTATATATTAAAACAAGACATTCTTATATATATATATATGTTGTCTATACCTAGTCAAACGGCTGGACCGATAAGGCTCATTTTTTTTGTGGACACTCATGGGTGGCCGGGGGGTTATAGGCTATAAAAAATATAAAACAATTTTTTCAAAAATATTTTTTTTTGTTTTAAATATTTTTTTCAAAATTTTTTTCACGGGCAACGCCGGGCCATTCGGCTAGTCTAAACGGCTGGACCGAATGGGCTGAAATTGTTTGTGGACAATCATGGGTGGCCGAGGGGTGTTATAGGCTAAACAAATTTGAATTTTTTTTCCAAATATTTTTTTCAAGTTTTTTAACGGGCAACGCCGGGCCCTTCAGCTAGTATATTATGTATACTCTACAGTGAGAACCAAAAAGCTCTGGAATAGAAAGACGACTTTTAGGCTCAATTTATGACTTTAAATAGTCTAATGAACATGCGGCACCGCAATTATGCAGTTTAAACAATCCCATTTAACTTTATTTATTAAACAATCCCATTTAGTAAGTTACAACTTACAAGTAACTATATTTAATATTTATAAATCATAGTTGAAGCTAACCGGTCCCTGTTCTCCTCTATCCAATCTTCTGCCCTACCTAAACCATCCACCACCACACCGTCAATACCGTATCTATAGTTTTTCTTTCTTATATTATCGAGCAACTGGGAAGCTGATATGAAAACAGCTACAGCTATAGCAGTTCTCCAGACGCAGAACAATAATCAGTTGACAATTAATCTATGTACCCCTTGTAATAATGATTTATCTTATATAATGTTTCTGCGTAAATAAATAATATTTGATTTGATAAACCCTAAATAAGCCATACATAAGCCATTCATGGCTAATTACTTATTTTTGCAAATACTGAGATTTACGTAAAATGGTATAAAACCCATTGAAAAATTGTCAGGACGACATTTGATAAATTCTTTCGATGTATGGCTCATTTAGGGTTTAACTGTATTTGCTTTGAAACATCTTCAAATACACTTAAGTATTGATACAATGCCGTCTTCCTATTCCACAATTTTCTGGTTATCACTGTATATATTGTATAAAGATCTAGAAATGTTTAGATATTCAGATAAATAACCTTTATTGAGTTTTCCATGAAAGCTGCCAATATTGGAGAATCGGAAATAATTACTATTTTTGCAAAAAAAAATATCTCAGAATTCCAATGAAATTTGTCAAATCGAAATTTTTAGATTTCAATGGAATTTCAGCGGAGTGTTCACTGGAAACGAGGCTTTTGATTTCCACTTTTGATGCTGAAAAGTACTTTTATCTGACCCTTTATTTAAAAAGTAAATAATTACTTTTCTCATATTCGCAAATAATTAAAATTTACTTTTTCCACTTTCCAAAATAATTACTCAAGTTTACTCAAGTTTACTCAAGTTTACTCAAGTTTACTCAAGTTTACTCAAGTTTATTCAAGTTTACTCAAGTTTAATCAAGTTTACTCAAGTTTACTCAAGTTTAAACGATCGGCGTTTTTTCTCTTAGGCCTGTAAAAATGCTGCCTTACTGTATAATCTTTTATTCTTTTTTTTTAAGGTTTTCATACAAATTTGGCTTCACAACAAAAATTTCGGGGAAAAATTAAATTTTAATTAATTCAGACGATGATTATTGGTTTTATTTAACGTGGATTGAAACCAAGTCCTAGTGATATACCTGGGCCTAAATATTTAAAGAGCTTCTCAAAAATTAATCAAAAATTATAAAAGAAATGGCAAGCCGAGAGACATTTTAAGAAAATAATAGATAAAAAATTACTAGCAGGACTCTATCACTTTCTATACCTTGAGATTGTTTCTTCACAAAGATTAAAAACAAACTGTGTAGATATCTAGATGTGTACGTGTATAGAGAGTGTGGGTGGGGGTCGATCTAATTAACGACTTTCGTATATATGTTGCGTATATAGCCGGCCAAACGTCTGGAACGATTGGACTGAAAGTTTTTGTGGACACTCATGGGTGGCCGGGGGGTGTTATAGGCTAAAAAATTCAAATTTTTTTTCTAAATTTAAAAAAAATTTCATTACATTTTTTTTCCACGGGCAACGCCGTCTTCATCCAGTAAATTATAATGTGTGATAAGTTAAAAATCTAGTTTTTTAGACTACAGCTGATATGAACTTTAAAATAAATTTCCAGACGAAATTTCACGCGCTCATCTTGCTATGTATCGTTATATCTAAGATTTTCTGTTATAGAACGTATAATTAAATCCTAAACTTCACAATTATGAGGAACAAATTTCTTTGTACTAAATATAGACTGCTCTGCAATTTGGAAAACAACAGAAACATGAAATTGTTGACGAAGCGTTTTTTACCAAAAAATCCAACTAGCTGCAATCATTTTCAAGTTTGCATGACCCCTAGCATTTTTTTACTTTTTTTCAGTCCTTGCAATTTCTTTATCGATATCTAAGATCGATTTTATATGAAGATTGATAATATTGTCGTCCTTCATAAAAATTGTTTAAAAATGAATTTATTTTCTTTTAAAAAGGATTGTTTGTAAACATGTCTGATCTGAAGAAAGCGTTAAGAACCAATTGAAATATTTTGATGTCCGTTGGAGCATTCATGGAAAGTTTTGCTCTTGAAATAACTTTTAAATACATGAATGAATAATTTCTATGTTAAAGAATTCGATAATGAATTAATTTCTGAAACGATATGATATGTTTTTTAATGAGTAATAACTAATGTCTCCTATTTTTGCATGATTTTGCATGTTTAAGTAAAACTATATTTAAAAAAAGATTTAAACTGAACCTTTTATATACTTATGTGTCTTTGTGTGTGAATAAATCTTAATAAAAATTATAATAATTAATTATAAATGGTTTGGAAATCAAGGACAAACAACTAATTTTTTTGAAGTCTTATATTTTCAAGTTCATAGAAGGTTTTGAATCAGAACGATGAATTACATATTTGGGGCAAATTATGTATGTCGTCTTCTTTAAATGATTTGCAGACAATAATTTCAATCTTCTATTTTAACTTTTAATTGTGGCTCTATCTGGGAGCATCTGCTCTTTGTACAATATAGAACAAAAACAAAAAAAGTTCGCGGATTTAATAATATTTTTTCGCGCATTTTAACATTAAAAAAACTCAAAATTTTTTGGACATGTTGTTGTAAATCATGAGAATTTAGTTTAAAAAATGTCTTTAATATGTACATGATGCTTAAAACAATTAATTTTGAAAAATGTATTTTTCAAACATGGTGTGCTTTTTTTTCCTTTCGAAATTACCGGATTTGAATAATTTTATTCATATTTCAAATCAAAAACCTGAATTATCCTAACATTCAATATTTTTTTCATTATTCATACGACTCAAAGAAGGTACAGAGTCTCACACGAAAAATGACCGTAGAAAGAAGACTTGAAAGTCGTCTTTGATCCTTGATTTCATTTGTGACATTCAGTCGTCAGCATGTTTCTTGATGCAATAACTTCAAAATGTTTCTAGTTCTGGCATATCAAAATTGTATACTGCTTTTTTCGTGCTTTCAATATTATCCGAGATATTAAGAATTTTGTTCAGATTTTAATTTTGTTAAATAAATTCAAAGTCGAAATCTCGGGTAATATTGAAAGGACAAAAAAAGGCAGACCACATTTTAAAAAAGCCATGAGGAGGGGTACTTCGGAATTATAAACTCTAGAATTTTACTTCTAAAGTTAGGTTGACATATAAATGCACCCTATCATATAAAAAATCAAAGACGACCGTCAAGTCGTCTTACTACTATCATGTTCCGTTTTATGCAACATCAGTGTGACCTCGTAGTTCCTCTAGTTGATTTCAAGCATAAGGATGAATAAAATAAAAATTTTAAAATCCAAAATTTTTTGTTCTTTTTAATTGCTCTTCAATAAAAGAGTTATAATTGAAAATATAAAGTTTTTAATATAAAGGAGTTTTTGCCACAAACTCAAATTATCTAATTCACATATTTTTTAACTTGTTGGTGCAAAACTTTGCTATTTTAAACATAGACAATTAAATCTAACAATATTCATAATTTGAAATATATAGGGATTCGAAATTCAGACTTAATTCCTTTTCTTTCTAACACTCAGTGTTAGAAATGGGCCAAATGTTAGTTTTGGAACTAATATCCCCTGATATTTTGATCATTTCTAGAATATAGGCCAAAAACCACTCTGCAGGCTTTTAATTCTATGTATTACTTTTTAAATGGTGATTTGTTGCATCCAAAATACGTCAAAACTTTTGAACCGATTGGGCCCATATTTTTGTGGTATTTCACATGATCATCATGGATAACTAGTATCCAAATTGTGAATCAAAAAACAAAAATGATCGATTCTAATTGAAATGTAATAAATGATCAATGGTTTATTTGATCAGACTAACGAAGGATAAAGTTCCAAGGATTTTTCTGTGTTTTGGTGTATTTTTTAGCCTGCTATTTTGTCTTTTAATTTGTTTCGGTATTTTTATTGGTTCACTTCTATGGACTGGTTTTATGATAGCTGGGTAATNCCCCCCTCCCTCCTTTTACTAGTTAGATATAGAATATACAAAAGGAAAGCTAACCCTTGAATCACAGGACAGAGATTATTTTCTTGGGTCCTATTTAATAGATTGGTAATTGGTCTATGTTAATAAATGTTATAGATAAAGACCTATCCTATGTTAAAGGGTGAGAAGGTAGTTGATATTGTGTGTAAAAGTGTGAGGGTGTGTGAATGTGTGAGGTGGTAGGGTGTATGTGTGTCTGAGGTTGAGTTGGATAGTATCGTGCCTTAAAGTTGTGTTCTGCAGTTACTCTTGAAGTATCCGTTGCTCGCACTACCCCACTCTACAGTTTTCTAATACCAATACTAAACAAACCATTAGAAAGTGTAAACTATCTTGTTACAACAAGACATGACAGCTGACAACGTTGATAGTCAGTGCTGGAATTTGGTGAATAGTGACTATAACCACTGAGGAGCATGAGAAAACAATGTTGCGAATTTTTTCTAGTTTTTTTCCTGGATTTTCGCCCGGAGACAACACGCGGGGAACCAATACAACTTTCAGGAGTACTTCACGATCAAACGATCAGATGATCGGCATGTAGATCAATCAATCAAATCAGTGATTAAATCGTCCTTAAACTAACGCTGTGATAAACAATCGATTTTACAATCTGCCCTCGTCAATGCTACAGTAAAGGAAAGGTACAAAATCTAAACAACTAAACTTTATAATTTTAAACTTGAACATTTTCACAATTAAGGAGCGGGGAGGGGGGGGGGGAATTATGGTGAGTAAGCTATCAAAATTGACAAAACCAGCATTTCATCATCTAACCCCCCTTCCCAGCTTTATTTGCGCATATTGTGCTAAATAAAAAATACTTACACTTATTTTAGGGAAAATTGAAAAATAGCCAAATTAGAATTTTGGGGAAATTTGAAAAATAGTCAAATAAGCATTCTTTTAAAATCAAAAATAATGAATGAAATTTTGTGCACATTTTTTTGCACAAATACAGACAAAAAGAGATTGTCTACTTTTGACAAACGACTTTTATGATTTTACCTTCTTTTGACCCATATTACCGACCTATGATTCCCCCAATAGAGGAACGTTAAGTTACTTAACGTCCCTTGGGACAACTGAGTGAATTTATCACCCCATTTTGCAAAGTTTTCGTAAAACATTGCTCATTTAAATCTCAAAAGACGATAAAATTGTTTACAACTACTTTTTCGGGAAATTAAACAATTTACTTAACCAGGGGTTCCCTCGACCAATTTTTCCTTCAAAACATTCAACGCGCAGCGAACCCTTGGTAAAGTAAATCTCCCTGACTTCCCTGTAAAGTAGTTGTAAATAATTATTACATCGTTCAGCAAGTTACCTAGCTATGAATGATGGAAGCATCAAACTTAAAAATAAAATTTGGAATTAAGGATTTTATGTTTTGAAATTATGATAAATGTTTGAAGAAAACTGTTTTTTTTTTGCTTGGCCCCCTTTTCACTATATCTCAAATCCGCCAAAAACCGGTTTCACTTTAGAGCCAGATTAAATCTTTAAATTTGGCCTCCGGTAAACCAATCCGGTAATCAGAGTTTTTTTCAAAAATCTTATTATCAAGAGTTTGAATTCATTAATTATCATAAATATAAATATATTTCTTTCCGTGATATATTACTGTTAATTCATGATTATCTTTTAAAAGAAGTGAGATGAAAACTTTAGAACTGTAAATATCGAGATCAATGATTGATCTTCTCTTATTGTTAATTTCAAGATAACTTAATATAATTAGTTTGTATAACTAAAAATTATCCTCTCGAGTGTGGTTTGGTAACACCAGAACAGCCAATCAGCGAAGTTTGGAAATTTGTAATTTCGCGCGGTATTTGATGAGTTCACTCTCATTGGTCGGAACCTGGCAGGGTGAAAAAGAAAGAAAAAGAGCGGATTAAGAAGGAAATTAAAATTTTCCTTATTGGATATTCGGATTTGGATATCCAATTCTAAAGTTTTCAGCTCTGAGCTGGGAACTTTTGAATGATGGATATCGGGATTAATGCTTTGATCCACTCTTTTTCTTAATCTCGAGATTAAATAATGCTTGTTCTCCTCTTGTTATTGTTCTCCAGATTAATTAACCGATCGGGATTCAGGATATCCCATTTTAAAGTTTTCAGCTCTGAATACATATTTTTGGGGGACTCTGTATTAATTTATTCTGGAGCGCCATGTCCAATTCACAACGGTTCCCTTGAAAGTATTGCATTATCAGAAATGCTTGAGACCTCAATCATTTTTTGTTTGACAATTTTCAATTTTTCTATTGAATAACTTTTGTATTTCTGTCTCAAGAACAATCAAACACTGTCAGAATTAAACACTTTTAGAGCTAAAAAAATGACGATATCTCAACACAATTATTGATTAGCTAAAAGTTTTAACGCGGTGCCAATGCAGTAAATTAGGCATGTTCTTAATTTCTTATTTAAAAAGAAAGTTCACTTGAAATTACACCTACAGTGCCTTAATCCTATTCCTGGTGGGGGGGGGGTAGATCAATTTGGCCCTCCCTCAAGTTTTTTTTTACATATCTCAAGGACCTTTTGGTCTAAAACCGGGCTTTTTATTTTAACTGCCTGAGTCCTCAGGCATAGTTTTTCCTGTAAAAAACTAAATATTTGTTTTGACCCATATTCAGTTGTTAGATTTTGATAATTTTTAGCTTTTTCGAAAGCCTTTGAAGCCTATAGGGAAACGGATTGGACAAGTTTTGCAAAGAAATTTTCGCAAACTATTTGCATACAACCCGTCAAATATAATATACACATTTTTAGTTTTTCTTAATTACACGACAGGTTATTTAAAATTTTTCTAATTTTTTTTTTAAATGGCATGGTCGAGGGCTTTTAATTTTTTGGACATTTTTGTTTTTGCAAACATTTTTACTGGATTTTGCAAAAAAATTCAATTTTAGGAAGTTTGCTATTTTTTTTGCAGATTCTAAAAGTAGAGCATAAGAGCTTTCCAATGATGTATCATTTGTCATATTTGGACATCAAACATGGTATTTAGAGGGGTTGACTCCCCATCCCTACCCCAGCGTATCCTGGTTTTAAAGTACCCCAGCAGAGATTGGATTAAAGCATCTATGTTTTCTGATTATCCCTGGTATATTTCTCCTTTTATCTAACATCCATATATCTAAATACTGGAAGCGTGGTCCGAGTTTTCAGAGGATAAAAGGTTTTCATTTCTTGTCCACGTTGATGTTTTTGTCATTTTATATTTCATTTTCTAATTCATCATTTCTAAAAGTTTTCTGGTTTTTGTTCAAATATTTAGTCATTCTTTTTCATGTAAACATAACTTAAACAGTTTCAACTTTTATCTTACATCGTTTGAACATATTCCTCGTCTTAGATTTGACTGTATTTTAGCAACTTTGTTTTATGTCAATTTTCTCTAAATATTTTGCAAATTTAAAGAATTTGAGCCGCGGCTTAAATATGGTTGGTTTCACTAAAAATTGTATTAAATTTTTCAAGATTTATGCCAGCACTCAATTGAAACCGGTTTTTGGCGGATTTGAGACGCGGCTCAAATTCATTAAATTAGGACTCTGTAAAATTTAAAAGGATTTAAAGAGTTACATGCCGAATTCACATCGGTAGCCCTAAAAAACTGTAAAATGATAATGGGAAAAATCCATGTTTTCAATCTTAAAAATGATAAGTTTTCAATCGTGATGTTTCAAAAAAAGCGATTCGCAGATTTTTGTACAGACAAACAAACACGTCTATATTATGGGTAATGTTGTGAATCGAACATTGCACTCTTAACATGAAGGGTTACTCAAAATTAAACCAATTCTGTGACTAATTAACCAGAGGCAAAAGTGGGGGGGGGGTGATCTTTTTTAGCCCATTAAAGATATTAAGAAAGGGCAAAAACATAGACAACATGTAATAAATACAGTGTCATGTATACCATTGTCACCTAGCAACCCATACCGGCTCCTCTTTTTAGTTTAAACAGACGTACGCATCCAGCCTGAAGTACATTGTCAGTATAAAATCTGATAAAGCATTTTTCAACATTGGTTTGCAGAATTGGCTGAGTTTGAGTTCATAGTGATTAACAAGAAGGGGATCAAGAACGTGAATTTTGCAGATGCATTGTCAAGATAAGATCATTTAGACGAACCAACGAAGGACGAGAATGAAGAGTATGAGATAGACAATGAAGTTGGGGAACTCAATACAACTTATGCTTCAGATCTAGATGGAGATCCAGCAGAAATAGCTCAAGAGAGGCGGAAGTTTGCTGGATATTTGCCTGCAGTGCACAGCATGAGCCAAAAAACGATACATGAGATCATAGAAGAGAACCAGCTAAGGAAGCTACAGGAAGCTGATGAAGTCCTTAAGGAAGTTATCCAATGTTGAAGGTAAAGCGCCACACATGCAAAAATATAAGAGGAAAAGTACAAGGAGTAATGACAATGAGACAGATCTTCTATCCTATGCTGTTGTGATGAACGATGGTGTTTTATGCTACAATAAGGACACGGATCCAACAAAACAATTTAATGCTCTTCGTATCTGCATACCAGAAGCAAGGTTGAAAGAAGCATTCCAGATATGTCATGAGTAAATAGCATCCGAACACAGAGGATTTGTGGTACATTAGACAAATTCCAGAGAACCTTCTTCGTTTTATTATCTCGGGACAAGATTAGCAGACTGGAAGAACGTTGTGATATCTGTCTTACCAAAGAAATAAGCATCAAACCCAAGATGGTACCACATTTGCCAAGTACATGTGTGGGGAACGTAGGGGAGAAAGTCTTCATTGATCTGGTGACCTTGTCCGAAACAAGAAAGAACTGTTATTTGCTGACAGTACAGGAAGGATTCACAAGATTCACCAGTGCTTATCCGATTTGCAACAAGGAGGCTGGAACAGTGGCAAGAGTTTTAATTTCATTTCATATTTCATATTTTTATTCAACTACAAAGCACGAGATAATACAAATAAAAAATCACAATTTACTATGTAGTTTGGACCCGCCTAACCAGAGTAGGTTGTTTTAATTGGTTGGCCCACTATAAACGAATGAGAATTGCAGATAAAAACAATGTACATTGTACATTTTAAACATAAGAATGATAATAAATCAGGTAAAAGGTAAGGAGGAGGTGAGGGAGTATAAAGAAAAGGGAGGATACTCAGCGTAAGGGTTGGAACAGAGGGTAACATAAGTTATTAGAATCATGTTTATGAACTACAGGGTGAAGAAGATAGTAAAGACTAAGTTTATCCACATGATACACAGTTTTTTTTTACAGATATAATTTGCATAACTATCTAAATAGATCTTGGCGACTTTTCTTTGAACGATTTTGCAGATTTAGTTTCTTTAAGCTCTAATTCAATAGAATTCCATATTTTTGGAAATAAGGCAGAGGTAAAACTTTCTAGGGTTTTAAAGAGGACTCGTTCAAGTTTATATGATTTTGTTCTCCTGAACATTTCAGCATGTTCGGTTTACCAACTCAGATATTTACTTAAAATTTAAGAAAAATAACCCAACGGAAAGGTAAAAAAAGCAATTACGAAAAATCTACAATCTACAACTTGGTTCTAAAGTTTAGACTCGCTAGAATTTTACCCAGGACCACTAGTTTACCATGACGCGGTTTCCAGCGAACGAAACGTTTCGCAAAAAAATGCAAAAATTTTGGTCGCATTTTGCAAGCTTTTTGCATTTTTCGCGAAAATAAATAAAGCGAAAACGAAGCGAAAATTTCGCGAAATGGAAAAATTTTGTGAAAACCATGAGTTTTACAGCTGCAACAGTTTTAATATTTTGTATTAATCCATCAATTGGGCTTGCAGATAAATCTCTCTTTGAAAATGATTCTTGTATTTTCAAAATTTAGTCTTATTTCACCAAAAAGAATTTTTCGCTAAAATTTTGCATTTTTTTTAAATTCTATATTTTTAGAGAAATTTTCGGGGTTTTTTTTTGCATAATTTAATTTTTTTCGCGAAATTTTCGCATTATTTTTTCGCGAAATATTCGCATTTTCTATTTAGCGAAAAAACAATGTTCAAGAAAAAAACGAATTTTTCTTTTAGCTGGAAACCCTACACGGCACTAAATATGCCCGGCTGTGTCGAATTCAACTCTTTTAAGAAAGGAAATAAAGAAAATAAAAATTTGAATTCAGCAATTATTGTATTTTTCTAATGGTGGAAGAGGTCAAAACTTCATTATAAATCCGTTCATAACGCGCTAAGCCACTCCTTCCCATGCCGGATTAATTTAAGTTGTCGGAAATAGCCACACTCTTTTATCAATAATCTCTTGCAGTTTGAATAAAAAATTCTATGGTCAGTTCAGTTGGCGTGGCTTGGCACAATCTCATTCAACCAAAAGTTTTAACCTCAGACTAAGCAATTCTCTTTCCATTTTGATTTCCTGAAGATATCCGATTTGAACAATTCGACGAGTTTCTGAACCCTCAAAACAAAGCAATCTTGGGCATCGCTTATCAGATGCATAAAAGAATAATTGGTGGCAATATTACTTTGACAGTGGCCGAATTTTAAGAATTTGAGCGGCGGTTTAAATTTAAGCCGCGATTTAAATATGGTTGGTTCCACTTAAAAATTGTATCAAATGTTTCAAGATTTAGGCCGGCGCTTAATTTAAACCGGGTTTTGTCGGATTTAAACCGCGGCTCAAATTCTTTAAATTCCATCTCAGTTCCTTTAAAGATCAGAAAATATTTTCAGTTTCATATATATATAATTGATTTTGCAGTCCTGGATCTGAGATTACTGCAGAATCTGGTTTAATTAAGTATTTATCATGAAACCATAATTTAGGAAATATCTTCTAGAGTTATAATCAATCTTTAAAGGGATTGTTGGCATTATTTTAATAGACTTTCTCTTCTCCTAGCATACAAAAGAACACGTTTATAATAATAATCTTTTACCCAACTTCCTATAGAACTTTAAATCAATGTAATTTTCCTTAATCTTTAATAATCTATACATAACTTTTTAAAGGTTTAATCTATATTTAATGTTTAAACTATAATGATCCCTGCCTAGCTGCCTTATAAACTTATATTTATCTGTAATATTTAATAATCTGCTGCCTAGCTGCTTTAAGAACTTTATACAGTGAAACCCTTAATAACGAATACATCGGAAGAATTTATCAAATGTCGACTTTACAATTTTTCAATGAGTTTTATACTATATTACGTAAATTTCAGTATTTACCCCCCCCCCCCATGGTAAGACCTTGAGGAAATATTAATTGCAATTACTTTTACTTTGCACAATATATTTTAATTAAAGGGAACATTTCAATTGTTTAATTAATAACTTTTCTTTTAATATTTTCATTCGTTCTATTTATTCAACCTAGGAATGAAATGGTTTATGTGGATGAATAATATATTCTAGGGATAAAAGGATGTAAGGGGGTAGGGATGATGAATAACATATTCCAGGGATGAGGGGATGGAAGGGGGTAGGGATGATGAATAATATATTCTAGGGATGAGAGGATGGGAGGGGGTAGGGATGATGAATAATATATTCTAGGGATGAGAGGATGTAAGGGGGTAGGGATGATGAATAACATATTCTAGGGATGAGAGGATGGAAGGGGGTAGGGATGATGTGATCATGAACGAGTTTAAGAAACTTGAAAAGCTTCTACGAGATCAGGTACGTTACAGAAATATTTAATTATTTAATTATTTGAAACTTTTCAAACTTCCAGTTTAATCTTTACAACGCAAATTTGCTTAACAATTAAATGGAGAAGAAGAATTATTTTATCAAGTGTTATTGGATATTGATCAGACAGGACTTAGGAGTGCATACAGGGGGGTGTATTCTCCTTAGAAATTTTATTCGTCTCTCTACAAATTTAAGAACACCAACAAAAACTAAATTCGTTCCCACCTCTTTAACAGTTTTGCCTCTTCCTTAAACTAGTAAATGTCAATAACTTGGGTCGTTTTTCAAAAAGTTTTCAAAAATTTGAGTTTAAAGAGATACAACACAAATACTTTCAACTGGGGAAAGGTCTTTACATTTTAAATCTGTATTCCTTTATCCTTTAAACTTTTGTAGGATATTAAGCAAAAAACAAGCGAGCCTATCAAAACGATAGTTTTTGGTTGGTTTTTAACATATTTCTTCTCTCAAGGTCAAAATTTGGCATATTTTATTTCTACAATTATTGGAAATAAAAATATCATTTTATTATCATCATAACTATAATTGTTATCCTTACTATATATGATTATTATTAACATGCATTTGAATTTTATGCTTTACAATTTGCATAATTTTCAGAACTGTTGTTAATTATTGACATAAACTTAAATACATGCCGAGTTCACATCGGTAGCCCTAAAAAACTGTAAAATGATAATGGGAAAAATCCATGTTTTCAATCTTAAAAATGATAAGTTTTCAATCGTGATGTTTCATGTATATACACCCTGTATAC